GGGTATTTACCCGCTAGGGTCCGGTATTTTCCCTATCCTATAAGCTCGTTTACAATAGGCTTGCTTTATACGCTTAAACAATCTTTTTCGTAATATCCCTTTTTAAAATCCACGAATTTTCCGATTTGTTGTAATTTATCCATTTAACCAGGTATTTTCGTTTCCGCAAAAGCCCTTTATATTTTAGCAAAGCTTTTACTTCGAAGCTAATTCCTTTTTTTTTTTCGATTTTTGGTTTTTTATTTTTTGGTTTTTCGCCGGGCCTTTTTTTAAACGCCCGCAATAAATTTGCCGGGAATACGTTATATATTCGGTAATTTACCGGAAGCTTTAACCGGAACGCCAAACCGGTTAACCCAATTATTTTTAAAACTTGGAAAGGTTTTAACCATTTGTTCGATAGCTTTTTTAACGGCCTTTTTATTTTAATATTTGCCGTACTTAATAATACCCAATCGCTTACCCCGAAAGGTACCGGGGTTTTGCTTTTATTATAATACTTTTTATACATATTATTTGCTTTTTTTAACAATTTTTTGGCTTGTTTTTTAATTGCTTCCAAGGCCCCCGCTTTAATTTTAACCGTTGCCGAAGGTTTTTTTTTTAACTACCCAAAGGTTATAAAGCTTTCGTAGGTAAAACCTTATTAGCAAAAACGCCGGGGTTTTTTGCAACCCCGAATGCACGCTCGTATTGTGCATTTACGTTGCTAAATGCAATAGCGACGCTTAATCGTTTTGCTTTTCGTAGCAAAAGCACCGGAAATAATGCTTTATTGTTTAATTCGTCCGTTCCGTTTGCCCGTCGGTTTAAAAGTGGTATGCTATCGATAGCCTTTTTTTAACTTTTAAGTGTTTGGCAAAGGTTATCCAAAACCCGTTTGTAAATAATTTGTCCCGGTCCGATACAATTCCTTTAAGCGTTTCCAATAGCTTTTAAACGTATGCAAATAAAAGGTTTTTTAATCCTTTACTAATTAATTTCGTAAACGTTGGGATAAAAAAGCTATATTTAGTAAACCGGTCGACCATTACCAATATTGCGTTGCGCTTTTTGCCGGCTTTATTTACCAACGTTAAAAGCTTTTCGATAAAATTTATCGATAGCTTTTGTTTTGGGCGGTTTAGTACGGGCAAAAGTATTAATAACCCGTAAAGTATTTGTATTTTCGGTTTCGTTTGCTGGCATATTTAATACGTCCGTACGTATTTGCGTACGTTTTTAGCCATACCCGGTTATTTAAATTGCCGTTTAAGCTTTTTTAAAATTTTGGCTATGCTTTTGTAACCCCCCGTTGGGCTATCGTATTATTTTTAAAGCATTGTTTGTTTAAGCGGTGCTAAATTTAAAATTTAAATTTTTTTTTGTATTTAAGCAAGCCGTTGTTAATTTTTTAAACGTTAAGCTTGTTTTTCCAGGTATCGCTTTAAACGAAATTGTCCTTTGCTTATGCTTCGAGGATGCGTTTTAATATCGTTTTAATGTTTTTTTTAGTGGTAATTGTCCTTACGTAGGTTGCTTTTCGAAATTTGGCTAACAAATCGCTTTGGAATTCCTTTTTTGCTATATTGGTTTTCCCGTTTATTGGTATGTTTTGGGAACGTTTTAACAAATTATCCGCGGGGTTTCGGTATTTTGGCTTTTATTTAATCGTAAAATCGTACTTTGCTAAATTTTCAAACCATTTTGTTTAGCGTTTTATTACTTTTTCCTTTATTAAAATATAGGTATGGTTTAAATGGTTAGTAATTATTTTAACAATTTTTTGTAAGTAGGCCAGGTAATACCGTTACTTTTCGAAGGTTTTTACGATTGCTAGCAATTTTAAATTAAGGATTGTATAACGTAGCTTTCCTTATCGTAGCTTTTTTAATATGTAAGTTACCGGGTGCTACCGGCCGTTTTGCAGTTGCAGCAATACCGCCTTTATCGCAAAAGCCAAAGCGTTAGTCCGCACGCACAGCGATTTCGAAGGGTCGAAATGCACCAATACCGGAGCTTTCGTAAATAGCAACTTTAATTTGCAAAAAGCTTTTTTCGTAATACTTTTTAAATAAAATACGGTGTTTTTGCTAAAAAGGTTCGTTAAAAGCATAGTAATTTTCGCGTAACCTTTTACGAATTTCCGATAGTACCCCGTAAAGCCCAAAAATATTTAAATGTTTTTAACGCTTTTCGGTATCCTTTACTTTAAAATTGCAATAACCTTGTTCGGCAGGATTTTAACCCCGAATTTGGTTATTTTAAACTTTAAAAAATCGATATTATCCGTTTCGAATTTGCATTTGGCCGGGCTAACGTAAAACTTAAACCGTTCGAATCGTTCCAGCACCGTTTTTATTGCTTTGCAATGCTTTTTTTGTATTTTCGAAAAAATAAGGATGTTATTTAAATACACAATGCAATTGCTATTAATTAATTTTTTAAGCGCTATATTAATAAAGTTTTAAAACGTTGTTAAAGCGTTGGCCAAACCGAAAGGCATTACCAAATATTTGTAATGTCCATATTTGCAACGGAAAGCAATTTTTTATTCGTTTTTTTATCGGATTCGTATTTTGTAATAAGCGTTTTTTAAATCCAATTTGGTAAAGTACTAGCTTCCAAATACCCGGTTAAATATTTTATAAATTAACGGGAATGCTAGCCGGTTTTTTTTGGTAACTTTGTTAAAACCCCGATAATTAATACAAAAGCGGAGCTTCCCGTCCTTTTTTAAAACAAATAAAATCCCGGCGCCGGCGGGGCTGGTTAAATGCCGAATCCAACCTTTCGCTATAGCTTCGTCGAAATACCCCCGAAAGGTTTTTAATTCCTTTTTGGATAAAGGATAAATGCTTTTGTAAAGCGGCATCGTTTTTTTTTCCAATTTAATCGCGTAATTTTAATTTGTATATTTTAACAAAAGGTTTAATTTATAAAATTGCGCATGTTTTGTAATTATCCCTTTAATTTATTCCGGGAAAGCTTTTAACCCTTTTCCGGGGTTTTTCGGGGTTTCCGGGCGTACAACCGTTAGTACGGCTATCGTTTGTCCCGATTAAATTAATTTCCTAGCTATTTTTAACAAAATTATTTTAACCTTTTTAATAATTACCGGGAATTTCCATTTTATATTTCCAAACCGGATTTTAATGTTTTTTTGCTATAGCTAAAGCATGCTTAACGTAATGTTGTACCCGGCCCGGGGCATTATTACGTAAAACATTATTAATTTTCGGGTTATTCCCTAGCTATTCGTTACCCAAATTTTGTATTTTTTTACCTTTAGCATGGGCATGCGTTTTTTAGTATCGAATTACGCCAAATGGCCCCCGTTTGGTACCGGTATTTTTTTTGCTTTTATTAAAAAACGGTTATGCAATAAGTTAACATCGTTTTTATTATTAATTAGCGCTTTTAACTTTACCCGGCGACCGTTAATCCGTAAATACACTTTGGTTTTTTAGCGCGTCCTGGCCGCCGGGGCGCACTTTTAAACCCCGGTGCTTAAACGGCCAAATAGCGGTATTAAGTTAGGTAGCGATATTTTGCTTTTTTTAAAGCACGCCGGCCGGATATGGCCCAGCTCCTTATACCCGTAACACCGTACTTCGGGCTTTTTCCCTTTTGCCCTTTGTGTAATCGCTAAGGCCAACGGGGTTTTTGGGTTATCCGTTCGTATTTTGCATGCTATAGCAATGTGGTTTAACTATTCGCACTTAAAGCAAATAACCGGCTTTTTAAAAGCTGGGATATTTATATCCCCCGGGGTCCTTTTGTACGGTTCCAATATTATTTTTGTTTTAAAAACTTTGGTTTGCAATTTTTTTATAATGTAAGGAAAGCTTTTAAATATTACCCGTTTTTGGATTTTGGGGCGAAACCGGTTAAAAAGCAATGTTATTTTTATCCATTTGGGTGCTAATTCGGAAAGGTTATTTTTTACCAAATCCTAACGAATCCGGAACGTTTTAAACAATTTGTAATTTTTTTGCTTAATAGCGGTATCCCCCGCAAGCTTTTTAATCGCTAGTTACATTTGCGAATCGGGGTTTTTCGATTTTATTTAAAGCTACCGCAAAAAATCGGCCTAAATAAACGATACCCCGGTATTTAAATGGTATATTTATTTGTATTTTGTTTATTATACCCGCCGATAATGGTCGAAAGTGCTAAAAACTATTTAAACTTTTACACGGTTTTTACCGTAACGTTCCTTTTTGTTTTCGAAAATAAATTCGTAATTATTAATATAATAAACGATATTTTGCTAAATTGCCGATTTTTTAAGTATGGAAAATTTAAAAGTAATTTTGTTTTACGTAGGATTTTTCCGTTGTTTAAAAGTGTTTTTTTTATTTTCGTTTAAGCTTTTATGCGCATGCTTTAACCTTTTATTTTGGATTTTTTAAATTAAACGGGCGCGTTTGCTTTGGGCTTTTAGCGCGTCGTTTATTTTTTGTAGCTTTTTTACGGAAAGGTTTTCGAAATCGTTGAAAATTTGCGGGGTTTTTTTGGTATTTTATTCCGGTAATTTAACGGCCTTTTCCAACGTGCTCGACGTAACGTTAAGCGTTATTGTAAACGGTACGAAATTGCAAATGCCCTTTTTAAATTTGTTCGATCCTTTTCGGTAATTACCCGGGCTTGCTCTTTAAATAAAAAAGGTATAAAAAAAAGAACAATATATTAGGGGTTAATTGGTGCAAAAGCGGGTAATTACCGGGTTACGGGCCGGATACGGTATTTCTTTTATTAAATTTCCGTAAATTTCTTACCAAAAGTGCTATCGCTAACAAAAATTGTTCTTTTTTTAATTTCCCTTTTTTTCGTACCCTTTTGGGCACCCGGGGTTGGTTTTTTAAATTTTCCGCGCTCCAAGCGCTTTCGTGCAATTTAAGCTTTACCTTATTTTTTAACTTCGTTATTATGCTTTGGCCGCAATACCGGTAATTCGCCGGCATGTTTCCGGGGGATTCGTGCCTGGCTAGCTGCTAGCGCCCCCTTTTTCCTTTTTTGCCGGGCGGTTTCGCCCGTGCATTTAACGCTTCCCGCTTTTTGCCGGGCGGTTTCGCCCGTGCTTTTAACACTTGCCTGGAAGCGTATAACGCTTCCAGGCGTTAAAAAGGAAGCTTAATAAGCAAGGAAGACAAGGAATTACGTGTATATAAAGGGCAAAGGCCCTTACGGGACCTTGCACTTTAAATCCTTTCCTCCTTAAAGCATATTAACCGGAATAACCTTACACCGTGCCTATCCCTTTTGCTTGCAACAATTATAAGCCCGGCAATTTTTAAACCCTTTAACGTAAAGTAAAAGGTTTAGCAATACGGATTTATTCCCTTTTTATTACCTTTATTAAATCGTTCCCAAACGCGCTTTTCCAAACGCGTTTATTTTTTTTCCTTTTTGCAATTTTTTTACGAAAAAATTCCTACGCTTCCAAAACCTTTTTTAACAAAGTTTTTTTGCTAAAGCAAACTTCGTTGTTAATTTTAAACGTTGCCGAAAACCTTTATTAAATTCCAC